AACACCAGAAAGTATAACTGCTTGTTTTTTTTTTTTCAACAACATTGAATAAACTTTTAACAAAAAATATTGAGTCAGTAACTAGGCTAACGTTTTTTTTTTTTTCCATACTTTTTAAAAACTTTAGAAGACCCTGGAAAAAAATGACTGAGCAGCAAGATTAATTTTGTTCACACTCAACGTTTTTACAATATCGAAAATAAATACTGAATTAAATATTTCAAATTTAATTATATAGCATTAAATTTAATTCTTAAATGATTTTTTATCCATTTTTGTAATACAAAAATATTACATTTGCTTCTGTTTTATGTTTAAAGATAGACTTTTTAAACTGGAAACTAAAACAACTCAAAAAAAATATAGAGAGAAAGAAAGAAAGCAAGCAAGCAAGCAAGCAACTCAAAATAAGGACACATGGCACAGTGGATAAAGGTGTTTGGTTAGATCCAGTGACAGGACCCAAAGAGTTGTGAGTTCAATACCCAGTTAAGACAGTGGAGAACTTGGAAAGGTGAATTAACAGGAGATAACTGACATCCATTAGACATGGCACGTGGAACTAGAAGAGTAAAATAAAGGGTTCAGTTTGACATTCCGACCACTTGAAGAAGGCTGGAGTGTATAACGGCTGAAATCTGATAAATATAGCAACAAAAATGAGAACAATGGTTCGAATAATGTAAATAGTGGACATAAATACCTCATCTCAGAAACATAGACAGAAACTCAAAATAAATAAGGTAAATGATATTCCAAAAGTAAGGATAAATTTCTTTGAATTACTTAAGCCAACAAATGTGCTGCTGCTCTCGTCGGCTTCCAGCAGTTCTGTTCCCTCACTACATCATGACTTCTTTTAATAAGAACAGAACACACACACACACACACACAAACGAAAAAAAAAAAAAAAAAAAAAACATTGGACACAAAAACACTAAAAAAAAAAATTTACATTTCATCTTCAATTTTTTTAAATGCACAGGTTGCTATCTTTTTTAACTATTTGCATTAGTCACATGGTTTAAATTTAAACAAAATTTTTTTTTCTGTTTTAATTTTTTGCTCCTTTCCCACTAATTTGACACAGTGAGGAAATGTAATAGGGGTGCACAAATTAATGTCTAATCGGCCAATTTGCTTAATTTGGATGGCATAATAGTTAATAACAATTTGGTGGGAAATATAGTTGTTAAAGGGGGTAGATAGCACTTTGTCGCTTTTATATGTGTTTGTAAACTCCTTCTGACTACTAGATTATGTTTTTATAAAATTATATACACTGTTCTGTAACAATTGTCCATCCCACAAAATATTTAAAGTTTATCTTAGAAAAAAAACACTAAACTAATTGAGTTTCTTTTTCCAAGTTTTCAGATGTTTAAAATCTCGACACCATTTGATTTGTAAGAATCATTTGTAAAAACACTTGGAAAAAGCTAGAAAGAGAACAGGTTAAAATCATTTTGTGTCAGCACCACTGTCTTCCTAAACGAGCAATGGTGGGAGGAAAAAGATCATTCAAACCTTCAGTAATTACCATTACCATTAATTTAAATTTAACTATATTGTCGACATGGAAAAAAAAAAAAAAAAAAATAATAATCCCTTACTATAAAGGTAATTTACATTAACCAGAAAAAAGGCTTAGACACAAGCGTCTATCGTTTAAAATTTAGATTTTTAATGTAACTATAACAACAAAAACATTTCGATTTCATTTTTGCCAGAAAAAGTCGGAAGAAAAACGCGTTTAAAAAATTTGTATGATTTTTTTTCCAATTGTCATTTGATACCATATATATATATATATTTCTTTCAGTCCTGTAATTATGAGTTTAGCTACTATAATATCTTTCTATTCATGGAAATATGTTGTGGCCATTTTTGATGAATAAAACCTTTGTATATTATTGTATTGTGTTTCACCTACAATTTATAACAAATTTATTATAATTTTCATTTCAATGAATAATTATATCTTCAGTTTAAATACAAAAATTTTAAAGAATCAAACATATTTCTAAATATTACAAAACAAAATAAGCCAGATGATAATGCATAGACATGAATATGATATGGGAAAAAAAAGCAAAAAACCAATACTGTTTATGTCAAAAGGTAAAAATAGCTACTGAGACATTAACTTTATAAGTCCTCAAAATTCAAACTGATGTAAAAAATTTTAATGGCCCTTGGATAAAACGTTGGTTGGAGCCAGTCATTTTAATACCCAAGGAGTTGTGAGTTCAATACGTTATTGGCAAATAAAAACTTTTTTTTGATTTTTATTTTTTGCTTGAGACATCCGGTAAAAGGCATAGAACTAGAACAAAAATATGAGTGATTGAAAAGTATTATGGACTTTCTTGTCTGACTATAATTTTTTTTACAAGATGGGAGAGTCCATCATATATAAAATAAGGAGTTACTTTTCAATGAAAAAAAAAACAAAACAAAACAGATTTGGACATCCTACAAAAACTACAGGTGATGAAAAATCCTTTCCTTTAGCCGTATAGCATATGCTACGCCAGGGCTACATACAGTTTTAAATTCAGAGTTACTTTCATCTAGACTGGTTGCCACCCAAGGCTAAAGAACCCAGTCTGCCCTGCTATTTACCCATAGCTGAGGGAAAAAGAGGATTCACACCTTCCTCAAGGGTATTAGCACGTAAGTGAATGTAATGGATCCGACTGAAATTCAAACTTGGCTTTCTGATTCCTTAATCCAAGCCACTATCCATTACTCCACCATGTTCTTGATTATATAATTATATTTATGCTCTACTTTTGTATCAAGCACTATTTTTTAAAAATAACAATAAAAATACTAAAGAACTTTGGATTATTTACCTAACGAGTTCTTTCCTATATATTTTTCACACAAACACATATATATATATATATATATATATATATATATATATATAATTATTATTAATAGAAACCTTATAAGTATAAGAAACTATACAGATTGTGAAAATTCGGAGTATTGATTTAAATAAACAAGCCAATACCAAAGGGAAAAAAAAAAGGTATAAAAAAGAAAAGAACCAAGAACATATACGTTAACTGAAAATAATTGTCCAGCATACGAGTCCAAGGCCCAAAGAAAAAACCCCCGATGCGAGTACCCAAAACAACTAAAAGTGCTCAATAGAATGAGTAGAGATAGGTTTAACACTCTCTCTCTCTCTCTCTCTATATATATATATATATATATATATATATAAATAAATAAAATGAGGACAACTGGAGTATAATTCCACTGTCCATAACATTAAATTTAAAAGAGGGCTCAATAAGGAGTACAGCTAGTAATTTACCATCACCTGAGGAGACACATTTGTAGTGTTGAAACATAATTGCCATTTGTGTAGCGATTTTTTTTAACGTTTTTGTTTTAATATCCTAAAATAAATAATTATATATAAATAAAAGAATTACACAGATATCTATATAAAATGTATGTATAAATTATTTGTTGTCGTGTTTGTAAACACACAGCAAATGAATAGGAAAATGCAAACTAAGTAACAGATTTTGTACCAAAAACAAACTCCTAGTTTTATCAATCAAGTATTCGAGTAATTTGTTTTCTAGCTATATAACCCTTATTTAGATTGTAAGAATTTTTTTTCTGGAGATAATGTTATTCTGATTCAAGTCTTACTAATTAACCCATAGCTGGGAGGAGAAGAGGTGGATCATACTTTTCCCCAAGAATATTTGTATATAAATGAATATAATAAACCCAACTGGAATTGGAACTCAGCTCTCCAATTAACAATTCCAAGCCATTATCCATTACCCCACCTGCACTTTGAAGCTTACAAAACCTGGTATTTCGAAATGGTCACCTATTCAGGGATTGATCAGTGTTTCAATGTGATATGTCTGTAAGCCTATCAATGAAGTAAGTCACATACAGAAGAAGAAATACAACATATTCCAATTATAATTTCATATACAAAACTGAGTCCAGTGATAAAATCATTATTAGTCTGAAGAAGGCCCTTCTAGGGATGAAACGTGGTAGTGAGAAGTTTTTTTTGTTTTTTTTTTTAATTTTTGCCATTCAATTTCATTTATTAGAAATTTATATCTGAGACAGAAGTGTGTGTGTGTGTGTGTGTGTGTGTGTGTGTGTGTACATAGACATCACTGTATAAACATAAGAAAAAAAAAAAAAAATAAAAATTTTTCATAAATTTCACGGAAATCATCCCCCTCCTCCGATCCAAAATAAATTACAACAATTTAGTTTTAAAATTCTAGTCAACTCCTTTTTATTAATTTTTTTCAGATGTTTCAACATCAGGTTCATGAATTATACAAAAAGCATTCGTACAAATGTTTTGGCCTGTTTGTTTATTTTTTTTTCTTTCTATTCTCTACACACAAAAAGAAAAAATGTTTTTAACTGCAAAAATCCAAGCTAAACTAATTGAGAATATGAAAAAAAAGAAATGAGGCTGGAACCTATTTTTTTTTTTTTTATTTTTTTTTTATTATTAAGGCTTCTGGAAGAGAAAGAGAAGAGGGTTGATCACTCATTTGCCTCACCCCCCCCCCCAACAACAACCAGGTCAAATGACTAGGAATCAATTATAACAAGTGTAAACAAATATTTTTTTTCCGGTTTAATTCCCCAAAACCAAACAACTTTTTATTTCGTTACTTTTTTCTTTTACCCTGCAAAAAAAAAAAAAAAAAATTGATTTTGTTTTTTTTTAAAATTTTGTTTTTTAAAACAAAAAAAAAAAAAAAAAAAAAAAAAAAAAAAAAAACACACCAGAAGTAATTTATTTGTTCTATATTTTTTGTTTAGTTTTAACATTTGATTTTGTGTGTATTTCTAACAACAGACAACAACGGACAACAAACTTTTTTCCTGTGGGTTGTCATGGCCAACAATATTCTGACATTTGTGTGGTCCCAAAATGGGTTGGGGAATGAAAGTTTTTTTTTTTTCCTTTTTTTTTTCTTCTTTTTTTACAGCTGAGTAGAGGGTTGGGTAGACTGCTGTCCTCCTTCCCTGGGGTAGTATTTGGCCTGCATATCTGCAGGAATTCGCTTCAGCATTTCTTTGGGGAAAATACGCAAAAGCTGCCATCCAATATCCAAAGATTCAAAGATGGTACGATTTTCATAATGGCCTGAAGAAAAAGAAAAAGAAAAAAAAAATCATTTTTAATTCACTTAAAAAAAAAACAAAAAAAAAAACCTGTAACCATTTGGTTGAGTCATAAATAATTTCGATTTTTGTTTAACTTTATTTATTTTTAAGAAAGTACAATTAAATTTTATTCAGTTATATATTCATTATTTACAATGATTTATGATTTGTTCTTACTAATCAGGCAGCTCCTCTGTACTTTTGGATTGATTTCTTTTTTATGGCTTATCAACCTTTTTTTAACTTGTAAGAAATTTAAAAAAATTTTTTTTAGAGAATGTAATGTTTCTCTGATCCAAGTCCTCAGTAGGTTGCCATTTCTTTCTGCAGTAGACCAGTTGCCATCCAAGGCTATAGAACCCGGTCGTCCTGCTATTTACCCATAGCTGGTGAGGGGGGGGGAGAAGAGGTGGATTCATCCCTTTCGGACTAATTTTTAAATGGCCCGCAGTGGGGACTGGCTTCTTTTCTTATTTCGGTAGATTGCAGTTTCAATGGATAACTGAGGAGATAATCTTAATCTTCCTAAATCTAACCCCATTTCCTTAAGTATTTTAAGGTTTAATTCTTTGCAGTTTTTTATTTTATTTGTACTATTTTTCTTTTCTTTTGGCGGGGATACTTAACCCTATTATCACATTTTATCATTTAGCCTGTTTCTTAACATTACTGCATGTTAACTTTAAATAGATGTATTCGCAAAATTAAGATAATTGTCCTTAGACATGGCTTTATATATATATATATATATATATATATATATATATATATATATATTATATATATATTTATACATGCATAAAAATGAAATTAAAAATAAGATAAAATAAAAAGTACAATAAGCACTATAATATTCCTTAACATTGATTTAAACTATATACAAATTTGAAGTTTTTTAAATATAATAGAGCATGACTAAAAGATCTTGGAGTATATCAAGTATTAAAAATTCATATTATATTTATATATATGTATCGCTTAAAACGGAGATATAGATATATATATATATATATATATATATATATATATATATATATATATATATATATAAAAAAAAGAACAGTAAGATATATAATCCGGTGTTCTTATAGATATTTTTATTTTTACAAAATAGTGCTCAATGTAAATTTACAGAGCATTAATATTATAAATTAATTGATTGATTTAAAATATGTTTTTTTTTTGCTACACAGTTCTAACCATGTTTCAAAAATGGAAGCTAAAAGCTTCAAATTTAATTTTGTAATTAAATTAAAGACATTAGTTCCATTTCATCCTCAAGTGAATTTTGGAGTACACACACACACATACACCATTTTTTTCTTTTTAATATAATGAAAATAGTATGAATAATAATTTTTGCAAGTGTTTAAAAAATTACTTATGGGCGTGCACACACAGTAGCTGTCTTCTTTATTTCTTGAAAGGATTTATTAATTCTATACAATTTTTTTTTTTCTGAAGTAAGTAGAAATAATCAATCCATCATATGTTCTCGTTAGAATAAAAAAAAAAAAAAAAAAAAAAAAAAAAAAAAAAAAAAAAAAAAAAAAAAAAAAAAAAAAAAAGAGGGGTTATCTTACCTTGTGAAATAAAGTTCTTTTCAAATTTAGTCAAAAACTCTAAGTATAGTAAATCATCGGGTGTCAGGGCTTCTTCTCCCACAACAGCCTTCATGGCTTGGACGTCTTTTCCAATAGCGTAACAGGCATACTAAAGAAGGAAAAAAAAAAAAGAAGAAATCACAATACATTGTTCAAAGATAGGTAACTGTGCGTCAGCTTTGAAGTTTATACACTTGAGTTTCAAATAGATGTGTTGGTGGATAGAATAAGAGGGGTGGCTGGATTTTTTTATGGGAATAAATTTTTTAAATATCTAATAAAAGAGTTGGTTGGAATAGGGATGTCTCAGGTGGATTTTTATATCCCAAAAACTAATCTTCTGGGCTAGTCTATTTGAAAGTCAAATGTATTTTGAGTTGAATCCTGAGGGTAGGGAACTGCAAAGAAAAGTCTAAAATATTTTGGGGGAGTTGAGTGTTTGGGTATCCCCCCCCCCGAGACTTCTCTTCAGAGCAACAAAAATCGTGTGTGTGTGTGTGTGTATTTCAAAGTTGGTATTTATAGATATTGAAAATCATAAGGGGAGGGTGTGTGTGTGTGTGTGTATGGAGGTGCAAATGTTTTACTGATAAATTAACAAGCATCTAAATGCCTATGTTTGCATTTCTGGATCTTTTTACTGCAGCAATGACTCTGAAAGCTAATTCAGTGATGGTGACAAAAAGAGTAAAAAATGATGAGAATCTGGAAGTGTCTGACAAAATGTTTCACTTGTATGAGGGCTGGTTTCATGGATTTTATGATTTATCAACCCTTGTTGGGTTATGTAATATTGAAAAACTTTTTAAATCTATATACATGTATTTGTATTACATCCAACGTTATTTTTAGTAGATACTTGTATTTGAGTAGAATGTCATTTTTCTTAGGTCTTTATTTTGTCTACTTGCCTGTGTATGTTTTTTTATATATATATATATAAAATTGACTAATGGTATCTTAATTTCAATTGTAAGAAAAATTTTGCTCTGTTTAATGAAAATAAGCATTGAGTGTTCTTTGTGAGTCAGTTTTAACATTTCAAATTTATATTGTGTTAATAGGACTTGTTTGGATTATACTAAGGATTATATATATATATATATATATATATATATATATATATATATATATATATATATATATATATATATATATACACACAAGTATAGGATTGGTGTATAGGGAATAAATTCCAATAACCAACAATTACTATTCTTAAAAGAGTGCTCAATACAGAGTAGAGCAGATATAATTATTTATTTAAAAATTATAACATATGTTATAAAATTGGTAATTTTTTACTTTTAATATCAAATTTTATCATATAATTTAATACTTATTGGTTAGACTAAATTCTATTTTAGTATAATCCCAACTTTAAAGCTCTTAATAGCTATTATAACCTTACTTCATTGTCAAGTTTTTTTTTTAATTCTCTTATACTTGTATTTTGATTGGTCATTCTAGCTTTTGTAACAACATTTTCCCCTTGTGAAGAAGCGTTAATTAATTTGAAACTTTTAAAACCATTTATTCTACATTCAACATCATCACTTGATAAGACACCGGAGGTGTTGAAACAAAATGGCTATTTTCATAGTGATTTTATAACATATATATATATATATATATATATATATATAATTATTTATTTAAAAATTATAACATAAATATCTTTCTAACTAGAAAAATATTTAATAAAAAAATACAAAATGTTTTTGGGATTTTATTTTTCACAAGAAAAGGAGAAAATGAAAAAAAAAAAAAAAAAAAAAATCAAGAAGAAAAATTAAAAAGAGAAAAAAAAAAAAAAACTACAAAAAATTAAAAAGTAAAATAAAAAAAATCCAAATTACATAATCCCAGTTGTAAGTCACAAAGTAACAGATTCTGAAATGACTGACTCTTGTATACTTTTGATAAAGTTTCCTTATATATAAACTAAGCTTTGTTTTGTCTGGCACAAGGTGACATGTAAAGAGTGAGAATCTAATTCATATTTATAAGTATTATATATAAAAAAAAAAAAAAAATATCTTCAGAATATTCCATTACATAATTAGATCCAAATAATTTTTTTTAAAAAGAGAAATCGGAAAGCGTATCAGAAAACAATTCCTAAAATAATCAGAATGCGATCATTCAAATAAAGAATATCTGGATTTTTTTTTTTTTTTTTAAATTCTAAGAGGAATTTTGGCAGTTCTGTTTTGTGGAGAATTTTGCAACTTTACTCACCAACTGATTGGAGACATCAGCATGGTCTTCTCGGGTCATACCTTCACCAATAGCAGATTTCATCAGACGAGACAAAGATGGAAGCACATTTATTGGTGGATAGATCTACAAGAAAAAGAAAAAATATATATACTGCTTGAATCAGATGCGAAAAAAATTGAATACTGACTCTTCAGTGGGGAAAACAGAGATAGATTTCTGGGGGGAGTATGTGGGGTCATAGGTGTCTGCTGCCAATATATAAAACAAGAACTGATGAAAAAAAAAAGAAAAGAAAAAAGAAAAAAAGAGAGTAGAAGCAAAAAAGAGAGAAGGGAAGAGGAGGAAAGAGAGAGAAGGGAAGAGGAGGGAAGAGAGAGAAGGGAAGAGGAGGGAAGAGAGAGAAGGGAAGAGGAGGGAAGAGAGAGAAGGGAAGAGGAGGGAAGAGAGAGAAGGGAAGAGGAGGGAAGAGAGAGAAGGGAAGAGGAGGGAAGAGAGAGAAGAGCAGAGGAGGGAAGAGCAGAGGAGGGAAGAGCAGAGGAGGGAAGAGCAGAGGAGGGAAGAGCAGAGGAGGGAAGAGAGAGAAGAGCAGAGGAGGGAAGAAAGTAGAAGCAAAAGAGTTTATTCCGCAATACAACAGAAAAGAAGTCATCTGAGTGGAACTAGCTCCTCACCAGGGGAATACAAAGGGAATGGGGAGGTGTTGACAGTGTATGTGGCCTGGCAGGTCCTAGTTGTGAGGATCTTGGCTGGTGGAACCAAGGAATGTGGTTTGCCAAACCTCCGTCACAAAAATAACGATAGTTTAGCAAATTTTTGGCCTATTCGGAAAGGAATTGTAGGTTAGGATACAATTCACCATTCATTCACAAGCCTCCGTGCAAATTCGATCAAGGCTGGAAATCGAGGATTGGGCAGGCAGCTCTGGCAGCAAGACTCCATTTTTGATCAGATCTAGCTTTTGCAAAGAGAGAGCATGGCAGGAGGAATTGGGTACTTTCTGGAGAACTGACCATTTTTCCAGCATCTTTAGCAATGGATTGTATACACAAAGTTCCATTTCAGTGAGGGGAGTGCAGACATTCATCAAGTCTGGAAAAAACCTGGGGCTGCTTTTTGATGACAAAATGTTGTTAAAGCTTGTTTTTGGAGATGTTGAATGTTACAAGCCCCCCCCCAAACCCGGAAATGTGCAAGCAGGGTGAGAGGAATCCATTGATAGGACTTGTGTAATGTACTCACCTGTCTGTTATGAAGCTGTCGGTCGACGTAAATTTGTCCCTCTGTGATATAACCAGTTAAATCAGGAATGGGATGAGTAATATCTGCAAGAGAATGGGTAAAAAAAAAATCCAATATTGATAATTTTAATTGGAAAATTAAAAAAAAAAAAAAAAAAATAATTTTAAGTTGTACTTTGGGTCATTATCCTGGATTAAAAAAAAATTTTTTTTTTGATATTTCATGGCCAAACAAGTTAAACAATTTAATTTGGATTCAAATAAACAGAATTCTCAAATATATATATATATATATATATATATATATATATAATAATAATGATAAAGTTAATTGGTAATCCATATGGATAATACCAGGAAGGATATAAATCCTGAGAGCACAATGTACTAAACAGAACAAGTAATAATTAATTAACAAATTGGAGACGAAATAATTGTTTGTAGCCCAAAAGATGTTTTTTTTAAGAATGTGCTATTTATTGACGGTTGTACAATAGAATTAGAACGTGCGAGTTGCAATGCTAAAGTTCAAAATTTCAAGTGAGAATTATTTCATCTTCAAGTTTTAACTTTAAAGGAAAAAAAAATTACAGCCGGACTATGAAGGAATGATTCTTTGAAAGTACTTGCTTAACTTAAAAAAATATACACTAGAAACATCTGACAACAGTTTTATAAATGAGGATCACATCATTCAATGGATTAACAGTATTTTAATGCATACATTATGTTTCTACTTTTGAAGTGATTTACCATTAATCGCATTAATATTGCTGATTGATTCTATGTATGATTATTTCTTTATATCATAAAATATATGAATTAATTATTTATATATATATATATATATATATATATATATATATATATATATATATATATATATATATATATAATTATATTCAATGTTATTATTGTTAATGAGAAACAAAACAACCTCATACAGATGATCATCCCATTTTATGTCCACAGGATAAATTTTTCCTGGACTTAATGCAAATACATCAGTTTGAATTTTTTATTTTAATAGGATCTATTTGGAATACTTACCCACAGATATATATATATATATTTCAAAATTAAATTCAACTGAAGAGGTTAAAATTTTTATTGTATTTTCCCAATTTTTTTGAATAAAGTGTACTTTGCTAGGTTCAAAACTGTAGATGAATTGTCCAAAGTTCATATTTGTTCCATTTTAATTTAAGTACTTTAAATTGTTTCAGTCATTATCAAGAAACAAGTGTTGTCAGTGTGGTAGGCAAGATTCAGCTACAACCTTTGGAGTGACTGAAAACCTTCAACACTCTAGAAATTATCAGAATGTAACCAACAGAATCTTGCCAACCACTTTAAGGTTTTTTCACTTAACTGAGCAGTATTTCTGCCATGCTACCTTCAGAGTTTTGTAGTTAAAAATGGAGTTGGACTATTCCAACTCATTTTCTGAAATTTTCTCAAACAGGCTTGAATGTAGAAATGATAATTATATATATATATATATATATATATATATATATATATATATATATATATATATATATATAAAGAGGAAATCCAAGAGCATGCAAAGTCAGAGATCAAATGTTGGTTGAAACTTGATATTCACTTGTACTTTTAGAAACCATAAAATCCACTTCTCTGTCCCACTGCTAGATATGTACACAAAATTGTGTCACTGATATGCCATTTTAGGCATTTGAGGGAAATCACTCTCCCTGAATTACTTCACCTGTCCAGACAAGAGCAACAAAAAGCTGTTACCTTTAAATAGTCAGCCAAATTAGAAATCAAATGAATATTAATGCCTTCCCAAATAAAAACCAAAAAATATATTTTGACTGTTAGGCATGGTTAAGATAGGAATTTGTGTGATGGAAAATTTCTGCATTTCAACAGCCCAGAAAAATTGAAATTTTATATGAAGCCAAATTTAAATACATGTAACCGGGAAAGTACAAATCTTCCTTTAAAATATATTCTAATGAGCAGCTGATATATAAAATGAAATATTTAAGATGAATAATTTCAAATTTAACCTTAAGGAAAAAATTTTTATTTTGGAAATTGTTTACAGTTAAAAAAAAAAAAAATCTGTTAAATATAATTATATTTGATATTTTTTTTCTTTCTTCTTTTTAGATGAAAAGTTAATTCCTATTAAAATTTATTTAGCACAGCTAAACACATTTAGCAGTTTTAACAAAGTCACTAAATGAGAAGTTTAAAAAAAAATAAATATTTCTGGCATACTTTTTTAAAATGGAAAAAAAACCTTTAAGACGGCTTTCATGAATTTTTTCAAAAATTTCTACCATTTCTAATTTATTTTTAAATCTTTATACATAGCGTACTGTACAGTAAATGTAATAAAATCGATTTGAAAGTCAACAGGGAAAGTTGGCTCACTGTGTTGCGCTAGACAATTTTATTCACCAGAATCTATCTTATGTATTTATAAGTCTATCATTCGCCCATGCATCGAATATTGATGCCACATTTGATTTGGTGCACCTGCTATGTATTTATTTTCTTGACAAAAATCCTTTTTAAAATTAAAAGGAAAGGGTAACTGAATAAGGAATAATCAAACGGAGGTTGGAAATGAAATGGTAATCTTTATAACATCATCAAAATACAATTCCCAACTGATATTTCCTGATAACAGTAAAACCACTGTTAGTGAATATGGCAAGAAAGCATGCCCCAATTTACCATAAATGCCCAACATATTTATGAGGATTGGAACATACCCATTAGTGTTCATAGGTACAGTGTATAATAAATCCAAAGAAGAATTTTGCACCAGTAAAATAAATTGAATGTTTTAAATTTTGGAAAAATTCATGAAAATTCCTCAATCTGAGCTGCTATCCAAATTGCCTCCAAAATAGACCTGATCATGTATCTTTTGGAGGCATTGCCCATTTTTTTGAGCCTCTGTTCATTTTTTTTCAACATACAGATTAGCATTAATCATTGTAATTCAGTCAGTTATGTGCCTTAATACATTTTAAAATTCATGTGCCATCCAAAAAAAATAGAACCGGTCTGTCCTGCTATTTACATCATTTTTGAGGGGGGAGGAGGATTGGGATCGTTTTTTCATATCTTTCCCAAAGGTATTATTTTAAAAAGTGAATGTGATGGATTGGACTGGAATTGAATAAAATAATCTATTCTTCAATTCCAACAAGCTATCCATTATCCATTTTTAAAAATTTTTTTTCACTTTATAGAATTTTGAATCAAGAGATCATAAATTTAATTCTAGACTTGAAGATTTTACGATTGTAATTAAGGAAAATGACAGATTAGGATAATTTTTTAAAACTAGCAGTTCTTGGGATGAAGCTGAGTAGAACTTCCTTCTTATTAATGATATACTGAAGGAATGAGGAAAATTCGTCCCAGTGCATTTAAAGCCATTATAAAGTTTTTTTTGCAAAGGTCAGAATTAAGGAATGTCATTTCGTAGAACATTTTGAATGGAATTTATAGCTATTAGATATAGAAAAACTTGCAATGTTGCATTAAATTTAAGTAGAAAGAAAATTGTTTAGTGGAAAATAATTCTTCACCCACAAGACAAAATTTTTTTAACTGAAAAATCCAGGAAAAAGAGGACTGGGTAGCTCCAGACTTGATATGGCAGAAATATTCCATTTCTAGTCCGATCTGACTCTTGTAAAGATAGAGCATGCCAGCAGGAGTCAAGTACTTTGTGGAGAGGTACAAGGAACAAAATTTTTTTTCAAAAAAAAAACTAATTTATTGCAAATAAATGAAAATGTCCTTCCCTCAAAAATTGGTTAAATAGCAGACTGGACTCCTGAGCTTTGGATGGTGGCTAGTCTAGGAGATGGACAACTCTGAATTCAAAATCATGGAGAAGGCAAGGAGAAACCATTCCACTATCTTCCCAAGGAAAATTTATAATTAGAAACATTAAAGAAAAGGAATAGAGAAAATGATTGTTTTGCCTTTTGTTCTGAATTATGGAATTAAAAAAAATTAAAAATGAAAAGAAAGGGTTTAGAGAAACCAAGAATAATAAAAAAATTTAAACATATATCATGTCAGTTAAGATATTTTTTTAATACAAACATTTCAGAGTGTTTGGGTGTCAATCTGAGGACAGTGCAGAGGATTTGGAAAGAGTTGGATGAGTCTAATGGTGATTACAAAGGTATGGCAGTTTGGAAAACTCACTAGTGATTGTTCTGAAAAAAAAAACTCCCAGAATTTGTTGGTGAGGGCCTCAGACTCAACATGGAGGCCTACATCAAGTGCCTTGAGGAGGTAGTGCTGCCCTGGGTCAAGAGGGTGGCTGCTGGAAGACCCTATGTCTGGCAACAGGACTCTGCACCATGCCACACAAGCAGGAGAACCCAGTCATGGCTGTCAGACAATTTCTGTGA